TTGTTTTGATGTTAATTATGAGATGAATGAGTTTTAAAGTATGAATTACCTATTTTAGTTGTCATTTATTATTCCTAGCGTTAGCAATTACATCACCTTCTTGGTTAACCCTTTCCGGTACGCTCCTTTTTAAAGTCGGAGTTTATATATATATATATATATATATATATATATAAAGGTAGGCAGTCTAATGAGGCCTAGAGGAGTACACAAGTAAAATTTTGTGAAGATAGCAAGATAGCACTTATCTTTTAATTCTGTGGGTGTGCCCCAAGAGGGCACACTGATTGAATAGATCTTCGAAAAGAGTGCTGAAACAAGCATTCCTGTCAATGAACTGACCGATGAGATGCCGAGAAACAAAGAATACAGACTTTCAGTTGTCCTAGATGATCGGTGAGCCCGGTCTGGGCACACCTAGGGTTCGCCCTTTGATTTTAGGCAAGATTTCAAGGTAAAAATTTAAAACTAATATAGAATAAGTATATTAGCATAAGCCAAAAAATAACATAGAAATTCCTTTTATACCCTAAAAAAATCTGGAAGATTTCTTTGAAAAATGAGGGTCTTAAAAAACTAAACATGGCTAAAATATATGCATGAGATGGTTTGTGTTGAGCTGCCATCTACTATAAATAAAGAAGGTTCAGATTAACCTGTAGTAACCTATAAATCCTTTTTCATTCAATTTTTCTGTGCGTATAGAAGGAAATTTTTAGGTGTGTCCAGACCGAACACACTGCGCCACAAAGGGTTAATATCGTTCAGAAAGGCGAAAAGAAAACAATGGCGAAGAAAAAAATGTATCTGTGGATATGTAGCTGCATCTCTGAACAGTCCTTCAGTCTTGGTTCCGTCCATGCGCTGAACTCACCAAAATAATTATTCGAGACAGGTCACTTTGAACTGAGAACATGGGTTGAGCATTGGACAGGACACAGATATGTTGGTTGGTCATAATTAGTCGTTTCGTTAGAGATCTAGAAGTTTGCTGATATTTAAAAAGTGCGACACACAACAGGACAATTCTATACGACAACAGCTAGCAGTTAAGAGCTGGAAGTCAGTTTGAAGCTGCACGAATGAAATTCTGTTTGAAACTTTGAATATGATATCTCAACACACCCATAGTGTTAAATCAGTAATTAGCTGAAGTAACGCTTTCTCTGCGATGATCATGCAAAAATACGGATAACTTTCATTTTCGAAATCTTCCCGAACTGATTTTATAAAATTTCCTGCATCATTTTGTACGCTAAATTCTGCATTCAATTTTTGCAGTTTGAAGTGCATGTCTAAGATCATTATCAAAGAAGTTAAATCTAAAAAAAAAAAAAAAAAAATCTGAAATGTTCCAGATTTTAAATTACGTCCAACGGGGCGTTTTTTAACATTTTGTGTGTTACCTTTCTTTATTAAATATCATGTTCCTCGCACTTAAACCATAAGATCCAGTACAACAGCAATATCGCAAAATAGTTTTTAAAAACGAGCATATCTTTAGAATTTCCGATACAGAGACTCACGCGCTGGAGATAAAAATGGTTTTTTCTTTTCCCTGCCGTACAACGTTGCCATTGCTCGCTTTGAAAATCCTTGAGTTTGTTAATCAAAAAATTCGTCAAAGTTTTAAAAAATAGGAAATCGATCAATAAAACAAATTTCAAATTTCAAATTTGGTCTTCCACATGCTCATATTCGTTGGAGGATTACGTTATTCAAAATTCGATGACTCTATGTACCGTTGTTTTATCACAATACGAGAAATATACATACATTTATGCAGATTTTTCATTATTTAATTTCTTCAAATATAATGCAGGACTCTAACATTTTGTGGCAACAGTTTGAAAAGTGAACCGACATTTATGAGTCCGACGCAAAATGCCAAAACGAAACTAATAGTCCTTCGGGATTCCAATCCCTTTGGACTAATAACCATCTTTACTGAAAACCAAAACTCGTTTGAATAATTTATGATAAAAACTCATTTGAAGCACAGCTACAGATTTTCGAAATTAAAATGAATATTTCCATTCTATACACAAAAGAAACGAATGTATTTCAAAAGTTAAATTGGCATAACATTGACTGCAGATTTTTTAACGTAAAAAAATACATGAAAAAAAACACTGGTCGAAGCCCTTTACTCTGAAGTTCGAATTTACATGCAATTAATTTTGTACTTTTTTAATCTAAAGCTTTATGTTTTACCCAATTAGTTCAACTTCAACAGCTACGTATGGTAGTGCAAAATAGATTAATAAAAAAACTATCTTAAAACGCTTCTGTGGCAATAAAACTTAATAAAAGCTGAACTCACCCATTGTAACACCGTTCTTCTTTCCTTTTTCCATTGAATAAAAATTCAACCTATAAGAAGAAATTTCAGAATTATAGTCGCCATTTATATTAATTGTTTTCGTGTATTTTTATTTCTTATACCAAGAAATGAACCTATCAAAAAGATTGAAAAAGTGTTTCTGTTTTAGAAAAGGGGGGATATTTATAAGCAGTTTTGTAAAGTGATTTACATTTACTTTTGATTTGTAAAGTGAAGAAGCGTATTTCTTTAATTTTCATTTTATTTGGGTTAAGTATTTTACATATGATGGCATACGAAGACCATTATTCGAAAACTTGTAAATTTCTATGAGATAGCATCGCAATTGATCAAGTGGCTTCATGACTAATAGATGTTACTCTTTCGATGTTCAAACTTGGTGCGGGAAGGTGCAGTTGCCCCTCGCTCCCTATTTTTTTGACTTCACTGATTCTTTTTTTTTTTTTTTTTCGTTTTAGTCTTTGTGTTATATGTTTGATCAGATAGCCTGGCTCAGTAAAAGTAGACGTCCAGTGCAACTCTGATTCAAAATCCAGTCACGACTACGTGCAGTGCTGATAACGACCACGTGTCTCTGAGACTCCTCTGCCGATGCTTTATTTTTCTTCTTTTTTCCCCTTTCTAGTAATTTCGTTCTCCTGATGAGGAGGGACTTTAAGCTGCCCTCGAAATCGATTGAGTGTTTTAATATATGTACGCCAAATGCAAGGTTGTTATTGCAATTTTGGTTACTTTTTTAATTAGTCTGACAAAATTTCAACCAATAGCAAAGAGTTGTTCACGTTTTACAGACGATTGAACCAAACGTTATAACAGTTTAAACAAAAACATGGAGTAAAAACAAGAGATTCGGGCAATCAATAAAGCATCTTTATTTAAAGAGAAGCGGAACTGGATGAAGTTCACAGGTTGGTTGATTGGTTGGGTTGGTGTCGTGTCCTTTGAGAAGTCAAATGGATCCATATGTGGAAATTACTTCTTTTGCCAGTTCCACTGTAACGTTCTTCCTCGAAAGGAAATTCCCCCAAGTTTAAATTCGCAGGTATTTTGCAGGTTACAGTGGAAGACGATTTAAGTTTGGATAAATGGTTTTTAAATATCATGGAATCTGCACTAAAGATGAAATATGCTCTGGACATCCAGCTGAAGTCACCACGACAGATATTGCTGAAGACTTTCATGATATAGTAATAGAAGGCTGGTAAACAACAACAACAACCTTTGGGTGTTCCCCGTTCCATAAATTCAATTACGCTATGGGTCCACCCCCCTTTGGGGCACGTCGTGGAGGTTCAACCTCTACTATTACCCCTCCAAGGAGCAGCGCACCACCTGGAAATAAAATCACCAGGCAGCACTGGTCGTCAATTGCTACCTGCCAGTCGCATGGGCGAGCCCGTCGCAGAAGGCCGTTACCCAGCAAACCGGGGGGATATCCCCCCCGGCTACGGATCCAACCGCTTAGGACATGCCAGACTCCGAGGCCGGCCAATGAGTGACCTTTTCCAGAGCCTTCAGAACCACCAAGATCATATATTGTATACCCCCGTGGCCGAGACTGCCTAGGTCCTAGCCAGTAGCTTCGCAGAATTCTCTACATCGACCCCCGGGGAGAAAGGCTGGTAAAGAAAGGTCACATGGTTGCTGAGACTATAGGCTCTTCCTTCTTCTGTGTTTTAAGCATTTCAAATGAATCAGAGCACATCTTATCCGAAATACAAGATGTATCCAATACAGGCCGTAGCTTGATCGTTAACGAAATGGTGATTTCAACCCTACATTGAGTAACTTTTAATCACAGCCCGCAGTACTTTGCATTGATTCGTAACAAACCTGGATCCACCGTTACGTTTCTGGGATTCCTAAGGAATCCTTATGGTTAACTAGTTGAAGAAGAAATAAAACAATAACAGGACACTGACCACGCTGAAATATTATCAGTACATTTGTAAGAAGAACTGAAATAAAAAAAAAACAAAGACTTTAAAAAATTAAACGTTAGGTTAAAAGATAAAGATCCTGTGCTAGGGAGATAGTTGAAAGATAAAGATCCATAATTTAAACTTTAGGTTAAAAGATAAAGATCCTATGTTACGCCGAAAGGGAAATTAACTTCTGAGTATTATTACTTTGTTAAACCGCAGGTATGATAAATCTCGTCATGCTGTAACATAATAAAACGGGGCACGAAAATTTCTGCCGTCAAACTAGAAATTTTAATACGTTATTTTATAAATCCATACCGTGATTGAAAACCATATGGAGATTTATGTGATAAGAAAATAAATAATAATCAATTCTTAACTTTATTCTTACCCAGAGATATAAAGAGCGATGTCCCAGTGATTGGGATCGCTGTCGGAAGCTGGATTTTTCTTGGCCTGATAGCTGCAGAAAGAATCCAATAATTTGTCCCTTTCACCATCCGCATGAGGCAAATCACTCTGTTAAAAGTTCGATAATAACTTCAGAAAAATGCAATGTTCTCATCAAAAAAGCATAAATATTTACAGATTAAGTTTCGCGACACGAAAGCACAAAGTTAAATATAAAAGAAAAGATATTTATATGTGATTTGAAAGGTTTCAAATCAGTAAAATGTAAATTTTCGTATAACCAAATGTTCTTTGAAATAGAAACAAAGATGGTTCCTAAATATATTTTAAAGCTTTTTTAACTTAAAATTTTCAATACCAAGTTTTAATAGCAAGTATTTTCAGTACCAAAAACCCTAAGTTATTCAAAGTAGGTGAATTGTTGGCATCTCGACTGACTGAAAATTCAAAATTCACAAAGGACCGCAACCGTAACAGATTAAAAGTAACAGATACAAAAAAAATTTCATTTTTAAACCGTATTTCATATCTTGAGAAATTTTCTATTATTTAATAATGAACGGAAATGCACTAAAGCTATTTTACGTTCAGATAATTAGCTATATTGTAATTATTGCTAATGTATTGTTTCAGAATAAAACACATGTGTTATTTAATTAAATATAGATATGAATAACTTATTTATTCGAAAAATGACCTCAAAAGTAGAAATCCGTAAAACGAAGTCCTGTTTCTGTTTCAATAAAACTTTTCTTGCTATATTTTCTTTCTAAAATTTGTAAGGATCTTAATGAAAATATATGAAATATAAACTTCCAATATGGTAGAGCATAATATCAAAATTAGAATTCCCTGCGAAATCATTCATAGTTAAATTTTTAAGTTAAAGTTCCTTTCCTGTCAAATTTTTAACTTCAACTTACTACTTCCGGCCAGAACTTAGTTTTGGAATCTTGCTGAATATTTAATGAGGAGGAGCGGTATTTAAACCACGAAGTTACTTACAGAGTCAGAGTTTCTGATTTACGCTCGTCTGCCCTTTTGGCCACTCTCTCTCAAAGCTGTTATTACGCTCGGCCGTACTCAGGCCCTTGCTAAGCTTCGTAGTCAAATAAGTTAAGGGGCCAACTCGATTTGAATCTTGATAGCTTCGGCTATATTTCTTTAGTTAATCTTAGTTTTAGTTTAATTTTTAGTCTCTTAAGCCCGAGTGTCGGCTTTGTTTGTACACTCCCAGGCGGAGTTTTGTTAAATCTTATTGAAATAATAAAGGGTTAGTTACCCTGTCTTACTGGAATAATAAAGGATTAGTTACCCTGTCTTGGAATAATAAAGGGTTAGTTATCTTGTTGTTTCTTGTCACCCGAACTTGAGTGATTATTCGCTGTCTAGTTCTTAAGATTCTTCACTTTCAACATTAATTTAAAATTACAAAGTGAGGAACTCTACAGGGTAAAAAATGGAAGTTTGCTGATTTTTTGAAAATTCGTGACTGTATCTGAAGGACTGTGACAACGATTCTGTAAACAGGGTAGGCGAACTTCTGTATGTATGATAGAATTTTCATTTGAAAACTTGTACGGAAATAAAAGTGGGGATCGAGGCTAATAGCCCCTGATAAACTGTACGTGCTAACAAGCTGTTCGTATTATCAAGAGAAGGTTTAGACCTTCTCTTGATTTAAAATTTATAAAACAAATCTGGCTTTTTTATCCACGCTGTGCAAAAGATACTAAATTCCACCAGGACCAAATCATTAGTAAAGTAACATCTGCTGCTAATTTTTTTTGAAAAATAGAAATAGAGACCTATGTAATATCCTTCTTATCTATTCAAACAAAATTTCTTTATATGGCACCGACAGACCATGCAAAGGTCTGTCAAAAAAGGTATCGACCAGGGACGTTTGAAACTCCTTGCAATTCGCAAGAGAAATGGGGAAAAAATATTCCATAGTAAAATTAAGAATTTTTTTATCACAGAAATTAAGGCGCAGGTTGGTTGTCGTTGGTACTAATCTCACTTGCCTGACGCAAGGAAATTTAACATGGTAAGAAATACAAGATTTTGTCTCTCGTTGGCAAGAGCCTTTCAAAGTACGACTGTAAGTGACAGTACAGTATGAGCGTGCAGAATAAGTGACAGTACGACTTCAGCTCAAGTTCCGCCCCAGTTTTGAGCGAGAGCTCCCCGCCTCTTATCCTACCACAGTCTCACCGCACATTTTGAATGCTCCCATGCCGTACAGATGCTATATAAACAACATTTATAAACATCCATACCTTCTCCTGGATTGGAATCCGCGCCCATCAGTAACAGCAGTCAGAGGCATTAACCACTATCGCGGTTGGGCAGATTGGTAGATAAAAGATCTCTTAAAGAAACTCCATTTAAGACACAATATTTACACTTTAATCAGTTGTTTGACTACTTTAAAGTGGTTCAAAATGTAGGCCAACAGCCTTTGCAGATGTTTACTCTATTGTTTGTGTTTTACTCTATTGTTTTTACGGGGTGTTTCAACAAATCGGTTACAAACTTTGAGGGCAGGTAGGCCTAGACTATGCAAAAACACATAACAATTCATGGTTGGAAACAGTGCAGCGGAAACCAAAAAATAAGCACAAAAACAGACACCCGTCATCAAAGAAGCTGTTCGAAATTAAGTTAAACACGTATCCTCAACATGAGATCGGCAGGAGTGGTCCGGTGCACTGGCCAGCAAGATCGTCACACCTCACTTGCATTTACTACTTCCTCTGGGGGTACGTCAAAATATTGGTGTACAAGACCTTCATTAGAAATGCTTAGGAACTTGTCACACGCATCATTGCAGCTGCTGGGGAAGGCTGGAACATGCACGGTATTTTCCCGAACATCAAATCTTCCATGTGTCGAAAATGTGAGGCCTGCATCAGGGTCCGGGTTCGTAATTTCGAAAACCTTCTTTGACGACGATTCTTTGTTCTTATTCCTTGACTTTTCCTGTACTAAGCATAATAAACATGTTTCCTCACCCTGTTCGTGTTCTTCCTCTCCTGTGTTTTGTGTTGTTCCTAGCGCGCCAGGAAAGCCTTTTTGTCCTCGCATTGCTATACGATTTTCCATCGTCTATGTGTCCTCTATCTCTCCTAAAAGTTTGTAACCTATTTGCACCTAACACTCTGCTATTTCGATTCGATTTTGTATAGCTTTTCCAATAAACCAATAATTTTTTCCTCTTATTTAAATTCCGATTCCATAAAGGCCGGTTATGAGATATCTTTTGAATTTACATGCTTATTCAAAGGAATGTCACAAATTTTTAAAACGCTCTTAAACGTCTGTACTGAAGCGCTATGAAGCTCAGTGCAGATGTCAAAGTTGCAAGTGAAAAGGTCAAATGATGGAACAGCTAACTTAAAGTAATCCTATTAAGTTCAGAAATAATTAAACGAATCTTCGTCAACTCACCGGTTGTATCTTCATTACCTCCAGTCGCACGAGACTTATTTGGACTTTCTTGCTGAGGGCCGGTTGTTGGTACAAAGCTTGCATCTGGTGATATAAAAATTGATATAATTTGAGGAGTCAACATTTGAGAAAATATCATAGTTACAATACATAACAATTGCCAAACAGCTAGTAGTGACAGTACTAGTTCAAAACTCAGCTGATGTATTTACTCTTATGAATTAAAATACCAAACAAATTTCATTTAACCCTTTCCTGCACGCTACCTTTTAAAGTAGGAGTTTTGATTTAAAAAAATGTAGGCAGTCTAATTAGGTCTACAGGAGTACACAATGAAAATTTTGTGAAGATAGCACTTATCGTTTTAATTCTGTGGGTGTGGTCAAAGTGGCACACTTATTGAATAAAGCTTTGAAAAGAGTGCTGAAACGAGCATTGTTGTCAATGAACTGACCGATGAGATGCGGAGAAACAAAGAAAACAGACTCTCAGTTGACCTAGATGATCGGTGAGCCCGGTTTGGGCACACCTACGATTCGCCGTTCGATTTTAGGCAAGATTTCAAGGTAAAAATTTAAAACTAATATAGAATAAGGAGATCAGCATACAGCCAAAAATATAACATATAAATTTCTTTTCAAACAATTCCTTTTATACCCTAAAAAATCTGGAAGATTTCTTTGAAAAATGAGGGTCTTAAAAAACTAAACATGGCTAAAATATATGCATGAGATGGTTTGTGTTGAACTGCCATCTACTATAAAAAAAGAAGGTTCAGAGTAACCTATAGTAACCTATAAATCCTTTTTCATTCAATTTTTCTGTGCGTATAGAAGGAAATTTTTAGGTGTGTCCAGACAGGACACACTGTGCCGCAAAGGGTTAAGAAGGAATTCGTATGTTTGATATCTAATATTTCATAAACTGGTCATCATTATTTTGAATCACTTGAATTGTCTAAAAACATTAATCCCTTACGGCGGTGTAGCTAGAAGGGGAGGGAGGGTCGATTAGCTCCTGGTGGCATGTTTTGGTGCGTCATATCTGACGTCAAGCATCATTTACAAAGCAGAAAGACGATGTTTGTGATATCTAAGAAATCGCAAAGTACTAAATTGTTAAATGAATCTGAATTGAGGAGAGAAACAATTTTTGCACTATAGAGATTATTCAAAGAAATAACAATCCATAGTTTCATGTTCTTCCCATGACTTTCATCGAAAGTTATGAATGAAAGTTACAAATGCGCCTGAATAATGATCACGATGACATTGATAAGAAAGAATTCTTCATCAAGAGAGAAATACTTAAGTTTTAGTTCCCTTTCTGCTAGAGAAGACGAAGCAATGATTTAGAAGGGCGTGGTTTTGAATTTTTACGGTTGTTTTAAAAATACGATCTCCAGAACGCATTTTCAAGTATTGTAAATACTACTGTGAAATATTCACAACTGCTGTACGTACGAATTACTTGCAGTAAGAGGAATTTTTTTAGATATAACACAATTAAGAAGCAACCATTACCTAAAAACGAATAATTTGCATTCAAGATATCTTCCGGCACTGTGTACGGCAGTGGTCTCAAACTTATGGCCAGCGGGCCGCATGGGCCCCCTGAAGAAATTTTATGCGGTCCACGTAAGCACTTCAATTATGCATTTGTTGCGAAAGTGGAGTTGCAAAGATTTCGATTTGTTAGTTACTTGAAGTTTGATTTTATATTATTTTTATTACCATTAAAATGAGCAGGATTAACGCAGCAGAAAATATATAAATGAAGCTAATTAATTTGTAATGTGTTATAAATCTCACTCAGAGATATGAAGATTTATGAATTTTGCACTAAAAATAGTCGATGTAAATAATATAAAAGGTGTTCCTACCTGGTTTACGAAACCCAGCAATAGATCAACAAGTTTCTCCTCAGACTTGAGATGCGGCATGAACAGTTCATATCCGCTTTGGTCAAAAAAGACTGCTAGTTCCATAAACAGCTGTTTTGCTGAAGCAAACGGTGTTTCTTTCCTTTTGTTTACACTTTCCTTAGTTTTTTCTTTGTCACTGGAGCTATCATCTGTGTCCAAGTCTTCAAACTCCAAATACTTCACAATATCGTCATCGTCCAACTCATACTCTGAACGGGGTGCGGATGGAATGTAATGTCCGTCCTCCCACTCCTCTGAAAAAAAGAAAGGAAATTTATGGGTGCTGAATACTGTCAGTTAATAGCTACGTTCACATTTATCCCAAACAAAAGTTTTGTCTAACTTTCTTTTCGATTTCTTACAATGTCATTCCTAAATAATTATCCTCTTTGACGTTCTCATTTGCTCGTTTTCAGAAAAATTTCTTTGTGCCGTCCAACCGGGACAGTGGTTAGCGACGCTGAGTGCCGTACCGGGTTCGAATCTCCCGGGAAAGGCATGGATGTTTGTACATGTATAGTGTCTGCGCGGCATGGGAGCGCTCTAAATAGGCGGTGAGCCGAAAGTTCTCTAGAGAGGGAGGTAGGGGAACATGGGCGGGAGTTCCTCGGAACCTTCCTCTCGCGGTGCTCTCCATGAAAATTGAGTGAAACTGAACAAAGTTGTACTGTCACCTGTATGGTGCTCAGGGCTGTTGCCAACGATAGGCACAATCTTGCACTCCTTGCCACAATGAGTTTCGTGGGCTTATTCTGATGTTACTGCCAGACAAGTGAGATAAGTTACATCAACATTTTTTTTCGTACAGTGTTGCCATTTCTCGCTTTTAAATCGTTGAGTTTGTTAATGAATTTCGTGGACTTGTTCTGATGTTACTGCCAGACAAGTGAGGTAAGTCACATCAACATTTTTTTTTCATACAGTGTTGCCATTTCTTGCTTTTAAATCGTTGAGTTTGTTAATCACAAATTCGTCAAAGGTTTACAAAATATGAAATAGATAATAAAACAAATTCAAATTAAGACTTCCAGATACCCATATTCGCTGGAAGAAGTTATTCAAAACTGGATGGCTCTAGGTACCGTTGTTTATCACAATGCGAGAAACATACATACATTTATGAAAATTCTTTATTGTTTAATTTTTTTAAATATAATACAGGGCGATAATATTGGATGACAAAAATTTGAAAAGTGAACCGACATTAGTGAACCAATGCAAAATGCCAAAACGAAATTAATAGCTCTTATGGGGTAACAGGCTTTGGGCTAAAAAGGTTAAGTATAACGATCAATTAAAAGGTGCTGGAAGAAAATTCTTCACTACCAAAATCTAGCGACTGGGTTTCCTAATCCCCAGTCGCCCTTAATGGTATTGTAATGGCCCTTAATTGTCCTATATAGTATTTTCTTCCTCCTCTCCTTGTGCCCTCGTGCTGTAACTGGAAGTATACACGACACGTATTCGGGAGGCTGGTAGTTCCAATCCAGGCTATAGCATTGCGGATTTGTTTAAACTCCTTGCACCGAAAAATTTTATAATCGCTATGGTAGTTTTTGTCAGCCTTTCATTGGGAAGGGAAGAGTTGATTATATTACACAGAAGTACTAACATAACTATCGTCAACGCATAATCTTTCAAATCTCACTAATTTATTCGAAACTGGTGCTCAATTTTTGCAACTCGGTGCTTTTCGCTAGGCAAAAAGTAATTGTTTCAATTTCTAGATATCTTCCAGTGACGTTCATTAAAGAATAAATAACTTTGGAATGGTAGAGAGCTCTTCTATATAACTTAGAATTAATTATATTACCAGGTTACTGTTCAGATGTTCTTATGGCAAACTACCACTGTTACTTAAGTTTTACAAGAGGATTTCAATATGTACATATTCAAATCACAATTTAATGAGTTTCTTCTGAGGTGGCAATAAAAGTTAAGCAGAAAATCTGGATTTAAAGCATATTTACAGCAGTTTAATAAATTTTCAAAACTTCATAAAAATGTGAATTTTAAAATAATTGTTTCTAAAACGTTGAGACCGTGAAATGATCACTTTTAAACCATATGTACGTAGTACTTTCGGAATGCAATAATAACCTACTTGGCTATCCTGGCGAGAGCATTCCTGATTTTTCATATTTCCTGCTTGGGAATATACTTAATGATTTAGAATGAATTTTCCCCTCGAGATGCAGATAATTAGTTCAAAGGGGCAATTTCACCTGAAGGACTATTAATTTCGTTTCGGCATTTTGCGTTGGTTCACTATAAATGTCGGTTCACTTTTCAAATTGTTGCCAACAAATATTATCCACCTGTGTTCTATTTAATGAAATTAAATAATGAAAAATCTCCATAAATGTATATATGTTTCTCGCACGTTGACAAAACAATGGTACCTAGACATAACAAACTTCGAATAACGAAATCTTCCACCTAATATGGGCATCTCGAAGCCCGAATTTGGAATTTGTTTTATTAATGATTTCATATTTTGTAACACTTTAACGAATTTTTGATTAACAAATTCAATGAATTCGAAGCGAGCGATGCCAACATGTGGGGGGGGGGGAAACATTTTTATCTCCAGAGCGCGAGACTGTGTATCGGAAATTCTAAAGATAGGCTCATTTTAAAATTATTTTGCGACATTGCAGTTGAACTGAATTTTATGGTTTAAAGTGCGAAGAACATGATATTTAATAAATAAAGGTAATACACAAAACGTTAAAAAAAACGCCCCTTTGAAAGTAATGTAAAATCTGAAAGCTTTCAGATTTATTTATTTATTTTTTTTTTTTTAATGAAGCTTGATTTTTGCTTAGTTTCAAAGGAGTTCATTTCTTTTCTCTTTCCTTCATTAATATTTCTTTTTTTCATTTCATTTTCAAACTGCATATGACCTGTATGTTCATTGCAAAGATACTTCCTGTCATGATCAATTTATTTTCAACTAAATTTTGTTAAAAAATTAAGTTATCTTTGCGTAGTGAAACTTGGAAACTTCGATCAAGCAAGGTAAAACATTGGACAGATAATTAAAGAGAAACAAGCTTTAGTCATTTCAGCTATACCACCATCCGCCCTTTGGGAAAACGATCTTGCAGTAAAAACGTGGCCTAAAATGCAAAACCGTTTTAAAAGGAACTGAATTAAATTATCGAATCGTCTTGTGTTTTTTAACATTTTAAATTTTTAATTTATTTTAAATGTTTCTAAAGATTCCAGCTTATTTTATTCTTCAGAAGCTGTCGTCCTTCTTAATAACGAATTCATGGTTACTATAGCTTCGGTTTCTTTTGTATCTGTGCTGGAGAAATACTTATTCATATGTAGTTAACTAGTAATGTATTTAAAGATTTCATGTACAAATATCACGTTCAAAAAGAAAAAAATAATTAAAATAACATTAGAAACGAACAACGTTTCACAATCTGCATTTCAACAAATACGAAGAAAGTATGGTCTGGGAAGAAAGGCGTGTGATATTCGCTTACCATCTGGAACTGAGAGCCTTTTCTTGTTGTTTGGCTTGAAAACGAGATGTAATATTTCTTCTTCGGATTGGCTGCTCTTGTCCTGAGGAAGGCTCAGCTCAAGAATTTCAGCTAAGTCATCTTCAACTTTAACAAATTCAATGATTTCGAAGCGAGGGATGCCAACATTGTGGGGGGGGGGAAACATTTTTATCTCCAGAGCGCGAGACTGTGTATCGGAAATTCTAAAGATAGGCTCATTTTAAAATTATTTTGCGACATTGCAGTTGAACTGAATTTTATGGTTTAAAGTGCGAAGACACATGATATTTAATAAATAAAAGTAATACACAAACGTTAAAAAAAAACGCCCCTTTGAAAGTAATGTAAAATCTGAAAGCTTTCAGTTTTATTTATTTATTTATTTTTTTTTTAATGAAGCTTGATTTTTGCTTAGTTTTCAAAGGAGTTCATTTCTTTTCTCTTTCCTTCATTAATATTTCTTTTTTTTCATTTCATTTTCAAACTGCATATGACCTGTATGTTCATTGCCAAAGATACTTCCTGTCATGATCAATTTATTTTCAACTAAATTTTGTTAAAAAAATTAAGTTATCTTTTGCGTAGTGAAACTTGGAAACTTCGATCAAGCAGGTAAATCATTGGACAGATAATTAAAGAGAAAACAAGCTTTAGTCATTTCAGCTATACCACCATCCCGCCTTGGAAAACGATCTTGCAGTAAAACGTGGCCTAAAATGCAAAACCTTTTTAAAAGGAACTGAATTAAATTATCGAATCGTCTTGTGTTTTTTAACATTTTAAATTTTTAATTTATTTTAAATGTTTCTAAAGATTCCAGCTTATTTTATTCTTCAGAGCTGTCGTCCTTCTTAATAACGAATTCATGGTTACTATAGCTTCGGTTCTTTTGTATCTGTGCTGGAGAAATACTTATTCATATGTAGTTAACTAGTAATGTATTTAAAGATTTCATGTACAAATATCACGTTCAAAAGAAAAAAAAATAATTAAATAAACATTAGAAACGAACAACGTTTCACAATCTGCATTTCAACAAATACGAAGAAAGTATGGTCTGGGGGAAGAAAGGCGTGTGATATTCGCTTACCATCTGGAACTGAGAGCCTTTCTTGTTGTTTGGCTTGAAAACGAGATGTAATATTTCTTCTTCGGATTGGCTGCTCTTGTCCTGAGGAAGGCTCAGCTCAAGAATTTCAGCTAAGTCATCTTCAACTTTAACAAATTCAATGATTTCGAAGCGAGCGATGCCAACATTGTGGGGGGGGGGAAACATTTTTATCTCCAGAGCGCGAGACTGTGTATCGGAAATTCTAAAGATAGGCTCATTTTAAAATTATTTTGCGACATTGCAGTTGAACTGAATTTTATGGTTTAAAGTGCGAAGAACATGATATTTAATAAATAAAAGTAATACACAAAACGTTAAAAAAAAACGCCCCTTTGAAAGTAATGTAAAATCTGAAAGCTTTCAGTTTTATTTATTTATTTATTTTTTTTTTTAATGAAGCTTGATTTTTGCTTAGTTTCAAAGGAGTTCATTTCTTTTCTCTTTCCTTCATTAATATTTCTTTTTTTCATTTCATTTTCAAACTGCATATGACCTGTATGTTCATTGCAAAGATACTTCCTGTCATGATCAATTTATTTTCAACTAAATTTTGTTAAAAAATTAAGTTATCTTTTGCGTAGTGAAACTTGGAAACTTCGATCAAGCAAGGTAAATCATTGGACAGATAATTAAAGAGAAACAAGCTTTAGTCATTTCAGCTATACCACCATCCGCCTTTGGAAAACGATCTTGCAGTAAAAACGTGGCCTAAAATGCAAAACCGTTTTTAAAAGGAACTGAATTAAATTATCGAATCGTCTTGTGTTTTTTAACATTTTAAATTTTTTAATTTATTTTAAATGTTTCTAAAGATTCCAGCTTATTTTATTCTTCAGAAGCTGTCGTCCTTCTTAATAACGAATTCATGGTTACTATAGCTTCGGTTCTTTTGTATCTGTGCTGGAGAAATACTTATTCATATGTAGTTAAACTAGTAATGTATTTAAAGATTTCATGTACAAATATCACGTTCAAAAGAAAAAAAAATAATTAAAATAACATTAGAAACGAACAACGTTTCACAATCTGCATTTCAACAAATACGAAGAAAGTATGGTCTGGGAAGAAAGGCGTGTGATATTCGCTTACCATCTGGAACTGAGAGCCTTTTCTTGTTGTTTGGCTTGAAAACGAGATGTAATATTTCTTCTTCGGATTGGCTGCTCTTGTCCTGAGGAAGGCTCAGCTCAAGAATTTCAGCTAAGTCATCTTCAACTTTAACAAATTCATGATTTCGAAGCGAGCGATGCCAACATTGTGGGGGGGGGGAAACATTTTTATCTCCAGAGCGCGAGACTGTGTATCGGAAATTCTAAAGATAGGCTCATTTTAAAATTATTTTGCGACATTGCAGTTGAACTGAATTTTATGGTTTAAAGTGCGAAGAACATGATATTTAATAATAAAAGTAATACACAAAACGTTAAAAAAAACGCCCCTTTGAAAGTAATGTAAAATCTGAAAGCTTTCAGTTTTATTTATTTATTTATTTTTTTTTTTTTAATGAAGCTTGATTTTTGCTTAGTTTTCAAAGGAGTTCATTTCTTTTCTCTTTCCTTCATTAATATTTCTTTTTTTCATTTCATTTTCAAACTGCATATGACCTGTATGTTCATTGCAAAGATACTTCCTGTCATGATCAATTTATTTTCAACTAAATTTTGTTAAAAAAATTAAGTTATCTTTTGCGTAGTGAAACTTGGAAACTTCGATCAAGCAAGGTAAAACATTGGACAGATAATTAAAGAGAAACAAGCTTTAGTCATTTCAGCTATACCACCATCCGCCTTTGGAAACGATCTTGCAGTAAAAACGTGGCCTAAAATGCAAAACCTTTTTAAAAGGAACTGAATTAAATTATCGAATCGTCTTGTGTTTTTTAACATTTTAAATTTTTAATTTATTTTAAATGTTTCTAAAGATTCCAGCTTATTTTATTCTTCAGAAGCTGTCGTCCTTCTTAATAACGAATTCATGGTTACTATAGCTTCGGTTCTTTTTGTATCTGTGCTGGAGAAATACTTATTCATATGTAGTTAACTAGTAATGTATTTAAAGATTTCATGTACAAATATCACGTTCAAAAGAAAAAAAATAATTAAAATAACATTAGAAACGAACAACGTTTCACAATCTGCATTTCAACAAATACGAAGAAAGTATGGTCTGGGAAGAAAGGCGTGTGATATTCGCTTACCATCTGGAACTGAGAGCCTTTTCTTGTTGTTTGGCTTGAAAACGAGATGTAATATTTCTTCTTCGGATTGGCTGCTCTTGTCCTGAGGAAGGCTCAGCTCAAGAATTTCAGCTAAGTCATCTTCAACTTTAACAAATTCAATGATTTCGAAGCGAGCGATGCCAACATTGTGGGGGGGGGGGGAAACATTTTTATCTCCAGAGCGCGAGACTGTGTATCGGAAATTCTAAAGATAGGCTCATTTTAAAATTATTTTGCGACATTGCAGTTGAACTGAATTTTATGGTTTAAAGTGCGAAGAACATGATATTTAATAAATAAAAGTAATACACAAAACGTTAAAAAAAAACGCCCCTTTGAAAGTAATGTAAAATCTGAAAGCTTTCAGTTTTTTATTTATTTATTTATTTTTTTTTTTAATGAAGCTTGATTTTTGCTTAGTTTCAAAGGAGTTCATTTCTTTTCTCTTTCCTTCATTAATATTTCTTTTTTTCATTTCATTTTCAAACTGCATATGACCTGTATGTTCATTGCAAAGATACTTCCTGTCATGATCAATTTATTTTCAACTAAATTTTGTTAAAAAAATTAAGTTATCTTTTGCGTAGTGAAACTTGGAAACTTCGATCAAGCAAGGTAAACATTGGACAGATAATTAAAGAGAAACAAGCTTTAGTCATTTCAGCTATACCACCATCCGCCTTTGGAAAACGATCTTGCAGTAAAAACGTGGCCTAAATGCAAAACCGTTTTTAAAAGGAACTGAATTAAATTATCGAATCGTCTTGTGTTTTTTTTAACATTTTAAATTTTTAATTTATTTTAAATGTTTCTAAAGATTCCAGCTTATTTTATTCTTCAGAAGCTGTCGTCCTTCTTAATAACGAATTCATGGTTACTATAGCTTCGGTTCTTTTGTATCTGTGCTGGAGAAATACTTATTCATATGTAGTTAACTAGTAATGTATTTAAAGATTTCATGTACAAATATCACGTTCAAAAAGAAAAAAAATAATTAAAATAACATTAGAAACGAACAACGTTTCACAATCTGCATTTCAACAAATACGAAGAAAGTATGGTCTGGGAAGAAAGGCGTGTGATATTCGCTTACCATCTGGAACTGAGAGCCTTTTCTTGTTGTTTGGCTTGAAAACGAGATGTAATATTTCTTCTTCGGATTGGCTGCTCTTGTCCTGAGGAAGGCTCAGCTCAAGAATTTCAGCTAAGTCATCTTCAACTTTACAAATTCAATGATTTCGAAGCGAGCGGATGCCAACATTGTGGGGGGGGGGAAACATTTTTACTCCAGAGCGCGAGACTGTGTATCGGAAATTCTAAAGATAGGCTCATTTTAAAATTATTTTGCGACATTGCAGTTGAACTGAATTTTATGGTTTAAAGTGCGAAGAACATGATATTTAATAAATAAAAGTAATACACAAAACGTTAAAAAAAAACGCCCCTTTGAAAGTAATGTAAAATCTGAAAGCTTTCAGTTTTATTTATTTATTTATTTATTTTTTAATGAAGCTTGATTTTTGCTTAGTTTCAAAGGAGTTCATTTCTTTTCTCTTTCCTTCATTAATATTTCTTTTTTTCATTTCATTTTCAAACTGCATATGACCTGTATGTTCATTGCAAAGATACTTCCTGTCATGATCAATTTATTTTCAACTAAATTTTGTTAAAAAAATTAAGTTATCTTTTGCGTAGTGAAACTTGGAAACTTCGATCAAGCAAGGTAAAACATTGGACAGATAATTAAAGAGAAACAAGCTTTAGTCATTTCAGCTATACCACCATCCGCCTTTGGAAAACGATCTTGCAGTAAAACGTGGCCTAAAATGCAAAACCG